GATAATATTTCAGCCTTTTCAAAAAAACTAGCACCGCTAAAAATAGAGCATGGAGAAATAATTGTAATATATAAGCAAAGGCATGTTGTGGAAATATCATAATACTATTTTGTGAATTATAGATATAGACATTAGTACATTATGTACTCCATTGTCAATTGGTAACCTGTATACTGAAGCGAACTAACTTCTTTCTAACAAGAAAAAGACTTTCAATTATGTTGATGTTTAATCCATAACAAAGCAATGTTAACGACAAGCGAACAGAAAACAGAATGACAAGTTATCGTAAGAAAAGCACGTAAGTAATCATGCGTGACAAAAACATAAACAAAACAATTGTGACTCATAACGGCTATTATTAGTTAAGTGGTTCGCCACACTACCCCCCCAGACGGAATGAGTTATAAAAATCTAGTGGGTTTACGAGTTTTTCTACCAAATTTGGTTCTGTAATCATAACCGGTTGTAGGTTCGGATGAACGATCGTCTGTAGAACGCTGATTGTTCGTTGTTGTTTTAGGGATTGGAGGACGTCCTCTTGGTTTAGGAATGGATACAGAAACAGGATGGTCGAGATCAAGATGAGCTGGCTTTAACCTGTCAACAGAAATAGTTTCGCTTCGGTTTCCAATCTGTACTTTGAAAGTTTTATTCCCATGTTGCAAAACTTCGAATGGTCCTTCATAAGGTCTTTGTAAAGGAGATCGGTGTGCGTCACGACGAATAAACACGAACTTGGCTTGATTGAGTGCGGCTGGCATTCTTGCTCTGAAAGGACCATGGTGCGACGTAGGAATTGGAGCCAATGATCCTACTCTTTCTCTGAGAAGCCGAAGATTTGTGGTCGGGCAGCTATTGTCTTTAGAGTCTGATATGAAATCACCGGGGACAGTGAGGGGAGCGCCATAAACAAGCTCAGCTGACGATGCCGTAAGATCTTCTTTCGGAGCTGTGCGGATTCCCAATAAAACCCATGGAAGCACGTCCAACCAGTTTGTATCATTGAGTCGTGCCTTGATGGCAGATTTCATTGTTCGATGAAAACGTTCTACCAAACCATTTGCCTGTGGGTGGTAGGCTGTAGTGTGATGAATTTTTGTTCCCAATAATTCGGCAAAGGCAGACCAAAGGCCTGAAATGAACTGTGATCCTCGGTCAGAAGAAATGTGAAGTGGAACACCAAACGGGCAACCCAATTTGACAGGAAAGCTCGGGCACAAGACATAGTTGATATGTCTTTGAGGGGAATGGCTTCTGGCCACCTTGTGAAACGATCTACTATTGTAAGAAGGTAATTGTATCCTTGTGATGGTGGTAAAGGACCAACTAAGTCAATGTTGATATGGTCAAAACGTTTGTCTGGCATTTTGAAATCTTCTAAAGGGGCCCGTATATGACGATTTATTTTAGACTTTTGGCATTCCAGGCATGTTTTGGCCCATTGTCCAATTTGTTTGGAAAGACCATGCCACACAAATTTTGTGAGATCAGTTTGCGAGTGGTACGTATGCCTGGATGCAAGAGCCCGTGAACCGCATCAAAAATTTTTCTGCGCCAGCTGGCAGGCACTATAGGTCGTGGTCTACCCGTAGATACGTCACACAGCAATGTAAATTTGCCGTTGCAAAAAGGGACATCTTCGACACGAAGACCGGTGATAGCAGTGCGGTAAGCCTGTGTATCCTTGTCGTTTAGTTGATCTGTGGCCATAATTTCATAATCGATGCCGTCATTGATGTCGTTGATGACCGCGCGCGACAGGGCGTCGGCGACAGTATTATCCTTACCGGAAATATGTTTTATATCTGTTGTGTATTCAGATATGAAATTGAGGTGACACTGTTGTCGCGCTGACCATGGCTCAGAGACTTTTGACATAGCAAAAGTGAGGGGTTTGTGATCTGTAAAAATCGTGAAGGTTCGTGCTTCGAGAAAATAACGAAAATGTCGTATTCCTAAGTAAACGGCCAAAAGTTCCTTGTCGAATGCACTGTATTTCGTCTCGGGTTTGCGTAGCTGTCTACTATAAAATGCAATTGGCTTCCAAGATCCATTTAACTTTTGCTCGAGAACACCTCCTAAGGCAACGTCCGAAGCGTCGACTGTGAGGGCAGTTGGTGCGTTTGGTTGTGGATGTGTAAGCATAACTGCATTTGCCAGTGCTTTCTTAGTTTTTTCAAATGCACATATCATACTGTCAGTCCATTCGGGCAAAACCTTCGACTTCTTGGGCAGGCCGGAAAGTGCTGCGAATAGTGGTTGCATTATTTGGGCAGCTTTGGGCAAAAACCGATGATAGAAATTAACCATGCCAAGAAACTCTTGAAGGCCTTTTACAGATGAAGGGCGAGGGAAATTAGTTATCGCCTTCACTTTATTGGGGAGAGGAAAAGCACCCTCTTTTGTAACAGTATGTCCCAGGAACTCTAATTCGCTTAAACCGAATTTACATTTGGCAGGATTGATAACCATACCGTGGCTTTTTAGCCTTTGGAAAAGATTTCGCAAGTCCTTTTTGTGTTGATCTTTAGACGTACTGGCGATAAGGATGTCGTCAAGATAGACAAATACGAAAGGCAAACCTCGACAGATGGTATCCATTAAACGCTGGAACACCTGGGCGGCGTTTTTAAGCCCAAACGGCATGCGGAGAAATTCAAATAGGCCAAATGGTGTGATAATGGCAGTTTTGGGAATATCTTGTTCATGAATAGGTATTTGATGATAACCGCGAACAAGATCCACTTTAGAGAAAATTGTCCTTCCCGCAAGACGGGCCGTAAAATCTTGTATGTTTGGGACTGGGTAGCGGTCAGGCACGGTCATATCATTTAGACGTCTGTAGTCTCCACATGGGCGCCACCCGCCGTCCTGTTTAGGTACGATGTGAAGCGCAGACGCCCAGGGGCTATTTGAGGGTCGGATGATTCCGAGTTCAATCATGTTATCAAACTCTGCCTTTGCCGCGGCTAGCTTATCGGGGTGCAATCTTCGAGCCTTTGCGTGCACCGGGGGGCCTTCTGTAACAATATGATGCTTTACCCCGTGTGCAGTGGTCGGGTTGCTGAATGTGGGGCGCGTTAAATCAGGAAATTCGTTCAGAATTTTGGCAAAATCGTTTTCGGCTACGTAGTGAAGGCAAGGCGGGGTGCCAGTAATCGTTCTGGTTGGAATACAAGCGTATGTGCTTGACTCGATAAGTCGTTTGCCCCTGATGTCAACCAAAAGTCCGTGAGAGCGCAAAAAATCTCCCCCGATAATTGCCCGTGAAACATTGGCTAATGTGAATCTCCAGGTAAAATTTCTACCGCATATAGTCAAAGGCACTTTTCGTGTGCCATATGTCGTAATTGAGGTGCCATTAGCTGCCAAAAGTGCTTGTCCTGGTCGCCCGTAACGACGGTCATGACCGGTGGCAGGCAGCACGCTGACTTGTGCACCCGTATCAACTAAAAAACTGCGTCCAGAGTTTTTGTCTGTGACGTAATAAAGGTTTGAATCGCCGACCGCCAAGGAGGTTACTGACGGTCGGCTATGGCGTTTTCCGAAACCACAAAAGAACATGGCGGGCGACATTTTTTGGCTTTCTTGCCGAATTTCCTGTGATAAAAACACATTTCAGACAAAACATGAGATGGTTTGAACGAACTGGTTTTTTGTACAGCGTTTGTCACCTCATAGCCTTTTGCAGTTAAAATATCATCTGCTTTCCTTGCCAGCTTCCGAAAATCGTCGCCCGTGGTTGTTAAAATGTCTGTAAGTTGAGACCGGACGTCTGGTGGCAGATGACTGACGAACAAATAGCGAAATAAGAAATCAGGTGTCTTACCTACTGGATACAATGCAAGCATGTTGTCCATAAGTTCCGTTGCCGTTCCATCCCCTAGTCCAGGCATTGAACAAAGGCGCGCAGCTCGTTCAGGATCCGTCAGCGAACATTTAGTAGTGAGCTTCTCTTTGAGATCTTGGTACTTGTTCGTTTCCGGCGGGTTATTGAGAACATTAAGAATGCTGGCTGCGGTATTTTCATCCAGAGCGGCAACCACGTAGTGGTATTTTGTTTCATCTGTTGTGATATTTCGAACAGCGAACTGCGCTTCGACTTGGTGGAACCAAACGGCAGGATTTTTAGTCCAGAAAATCGGCAGCTTTAATGATACCGCTGTTAGGCCTGCTTTGTTGTCTTCACTCATATTCTTCGTTATGTGCGTATTCTTTTCTCAAAAGTATGCTTTTGAGGTCGGGGTCACCATTTGAAGCGAACTAACTTCTTTCTAACAAGAAAAAGACTTTCAATTATGTTGATGTTTAATCCATAACAAAGCAATGTTAACGACAAGCGAACAGAAAACAGAATGACAAGTTATCGTAAGAAAAGCACGTAAGTAATCATGCGTGACAAAAACATAAACAAAACAATTGTGACTCATAACGGCTATTATTAGTTAAGTGGTTCGCCACAATACTTTAACTTGAAATCTTAAATCAGAAGACTTGCCAGTAGCCTCATCCAAATGGTTGTATTGGTTCAGTTACTTAATCTGTGGTTGTTCAACCCTTATTAAAACTCAGTGAATATTAGTTCACGAATGTTCGTATCTACAAAGCTTGTTTTGAGCAAAGTTGTATACATTACATGACAATTGGATACACATGAGAATTAATGTGAAGCTGGTAAAAAAGCTGAAGACAATAATGTAGAAAGCAAGCAGTTTTGACTCTGAGGAAATTATGAGCGTGTATATGCCTCTAAATCAAAACAACTACGAGAGTGCCTTGGTTGTTTTCAGTCAGTGCCTTATCTCTCCTTTTAATAACACTTTTCAAATATTATAGGCGTTCGAAAAAGCGCTCTACTCGTTAAACCTAGAACATAACATCGAACATTTTGAAAGTTGTGACCAGGGTCAGCGAAAAGTGGTGTAACTCATGATGCCATAGGCTCCCTTCCGTTTAAAGGGGTAAAAATGCTTGTTGTTAAATACCCCACTTTAACTCATTACTCACTCAAGAAAATTCTCAATCAAGAAACGCTGCACAAAAAAAAATATTTTTTATGTTATTATGATTACCAGAAAAGATTTTTGTTTCCAGTTGAAATTTGAAAAATTAGATCAATCAACATAATTTTATAAGGGTTGAAGAATATGGAAAATATGTTATAAGGCAGTCTCACTCATTTGCGCAACAAAGCTTCATTTTTTTTCAAATTCTTCCTGGTGGATTCAGTAGATTGATTCTTATCTTTATCACTTGGAAAATCTTTAGCATTTGCCTTCGCTTCCAATGACATTTTATACAATTCAACAGATTTCTCTATATTTCCCATTCTCTTGTGAGCGACTCCCGCATGATGAAGACAATGTCCATAAATTTGATACGTTTGCGCTTCTTCTTTAAACTCTGTTCTTATTAGATTGATCCCAAGTTGGTTTAGGTTCGCATATTCATGATATTCATTGCAGTAAGAGTAACAACGTCCAATGCGATATAAGCACCAAGCCTCCATTTTTACTCTAACTTTATGACTCGAAGCCTTAATTGATTGAAGAAACTTCACCATCTCCTGCATGAGTGGTATCACAGTGTTTTTAATGATTTTTCTCATTTTTTCTGATAATCCAGTTCTAATTGATCTCACAACAATTCTTATTTCACAAACACACCTACTTATACTCTCAACTGAGATATCACCTTTGATGTTGAGTTCGTAAATTTTTGCTATGGTGTATAATGAAACAATGGCATGTAAGCTGTGGCCGTTTTCCTTCAACTTATTACCCAAATTTTTCATCTTTCCAAGTTTTGGGATACAGGATAATAATGTAGATGAATCATCTTTTGATAAGTTAAGCTTTGCTAAATCTTGGAAACTTTTAACACACATTGCCTCTGTGTTTTCAACATTAGGGAGAAGTTGTTCACAGTCAGTAACAACCGATCGATTGACTATACGCTGCCATGAGTTTTCGACCAGATCAAGCATATCCTTGTATTTTCTCCGAAAATCTTCTGAAATGAGGGATTCTGGAAAGATAAGATAAAATAGTGAATCAATATTTGAGCTCATATAAACACTAAATGCAGTTTTATGGAAATTATATTTAATCGGTAATTTATTTGGCTTCCTCCTTTTAAACGAGGCTCTGTACAAGCAGCCACTGACAGGTAAAAAAGCTTCTATTTTAAGGAAGGATGGAATCTTTCCAATCAGGGTTTCTTGATTTAAGATAGGATCTGCATATTTATCCAGCGGAGAAGAAAACCGGCTTCTCAAACGGTCACCAGTCCATGTTGGGTATGGGGTCAGTAAGCCAGTTATTTGTTTTGATAAGCATGGATTTGACAATTTGGACAATCTTATGGTATTATTACAGTTTTTCAGTTTGATCTCGAATTCAATTGATATGTTCAATAATTTGTTTAAAATGTTGGTAATCATTACCTTCTTTTTTATATTCTGCTATCAGATCAGCTGGAAAAATCAGTGATGAAATATCTTCTGTTTTGTCTGTTTGTGTTCCATCTTGTGCAATTTCTTTTGGATCTGTTTGGAATTCATTTTCAGCAAAAGTTTTAATGGCGGTTTGGGTTGGGGCGTGCGATAATTGTTTCTCCTCTGTTTGGATCTCATTTTCAATAACATCTGGCTCGGCCATTTGAGAAAAGTCTTGGACTATTTTTCTATCTGGTTGAGGGAGAATGCTTGGTTCATCCGACGAAGTTTGGGTGTCAATGTCAGTTGTGAAATCAGCTTGGCAGCGTCTGTTTCTTCGTTCCGGCTTCTCAGTTTGCACTTCCATCTCATATGTTTGTTCTTCCTCTGTTTGAATTGTTCGTTCTCGTTTCAGCAAGACATTTGTCTGTGATTCCGTGTTACAAGTAGCTGCAGTTTCAGTTTGGCTCAGGGCAGCTGATAAAAAGCATTTTATAATAATTAAAAATAGGTTTTGTGAAGCCGAACTTTAGGGATTATTAGTTGTAGCTTGCTGAGGTTACTTTCACAGAGCCCAGAGAGAATTTTTCATGTGACACCTTGCTCTCTGAATAGGGCCCTATATAAGCAGCCACTAATACATTTATCAAAAAAACAACAATAAACACCTCTGAAATACGCTGCTCGTCTTCTATGAGGAGAAGTTCGCTTTTTGTGGCTTCGTTGCCTTCTTCTTTGAGATTTTGAGTCATTTTCCTCATCACTGCTTCCTAGAAAACCAGAAAAAAACATTCCTCCGTCTAATTAGAACTGATTCAACATGCATATGAAATACATCATAATGAGCTGAATTGTGTTTACCAAGTAACACATGACTTTATTGGCTTCACAATGCAAATGCATGAGTTATGTGGAACCAATCTTCTGAAAAATAGTAGCTTCCATTTCAGAGGCTGCTTTGATACATTTTTAAAGTTTCAAGAGTGGAAATCTCCTGCTTATTCCTCAATCTCATAACAATTATCAATCCTTCTCAATTAACATGGTGCGTAAATAAGGTTGAATCATTTCCTTTTTCAAAGAACAAAATGTCACCTGAAGTTTTCGAAGCTTCGCTTCCAAACCTTTGATATCCAGAGGCCTCTCCTTCACTTTCATGCTCTCCTCCAACTTGTCTTGAAGGCACTGAAAAATTAGGGATTTTGTATTTGTTCAACAATGTACTTATGCTTCCGTGTCTATCTAGGCAACGGTGAATATTCGATGACAGTTGACTGCGATAAGACCAGCCAAATTACCAAATTTTGACACTGTAGAACCCTATTTTGCACTCATTTCACCATTCTCAAAATCATTTGTTTGTTTTAAAGAAGATACTGTATATAACTGAGTATAACATGAATTTCACACTTGCTATTTATTTTTACTGAGGTCAACCCTTTATGGTCAACTTTATTGTCCATATTTAGTTATTAAAAAAATTTTTTTGGCCATTTGTTTCATCTGCGGACGACACATTAATAAAATTTGAGGAATTGTCACATCAAGAGCAATCATTTCAGAAGCTTTTTTATGTGGGTTGCAATTGAAGATTTTGATGAATTTTTGGATTTTATAGAAAAATGTGACTCATGCCTAGAAGTGGCATGGAGCGTTTTTGGGTCATTTATGAGTTAAGTTAGGGTGGCACATCGCTTTCATCACATCTCTGATTACCCTGAGCAAGTTCGAGTCCAATGGGGAATATTTCGGTGAGGATTCTGAGAGGATTGTTGGATTTCCACCACTATTGGGTGTAACCACTGGTCAGTTACATCAAGTACGAACATCTAAAACAAATACCTGATTACCTACGGTAATTCTCTACCCGGCATAAACTGGTATCCGGACGAGATGCTGATGATTAAACCGTCGTATTGCCTTTCCTCTCCCATGGGATAAAAGTGATACCTTATCCTTGAATTACCTGAATCTCGAATATTTTGTTCACCAGTCAGTGTTCCAGTTAACATCGTGTCTTCTGGTATGCTACCGCTTGTGAAGGGTTCTACTTCAATGGTTGGCAAATCTAAAAATGTTGTTAGTTAATAAGTAATCATTCCAGATTTTGCTCAGTAAACAGGTAAAATATTACTTTTCCATACATTTAGATTGGGGGGAAGGGAAGCTGAGTGGCCTAATTGTGTGATAGGCCTTTTTATCAGATGAGTCGTCCTTCTAAATTTTACCCCAGGGGCGCATCCAGGAATTTATAAAGGGGGGTTCTGACTGTGACAGCTCACGTGGGTTTCAAGAGTCTTGAGAGTCTGAAGAACCTTCCAAGCTACAAACATTGGCATAAGTAGGCCTTGTGGAACTGTTTTGAATTTGTTTTATATCTTTGGATACACAGCACTTATACCAAGTTTACTGCCTTATACTAGATCACTGAGTTATGCCCAAAAAATCTTGCATTGAAATATTTTTTGGGTGTATGTGGGTCATCTCAAGATTCCTATAATATTATTTATCCCTTCTTTTTTCAGTATTTTATGACTTGCAACAGGAATTGGGAGTTCAGATATTTCTTGGTTTGTTAGCTCAGTTATACTGCAAAAATTTACATATGAATTTTTTGTTTACAGTTTTCAGATAACTAGTAATAGTATATTCAAATTGAACATGCCAATTAAATTTCAATTGAAAAATACAACGAGATATATTCTTTTTTCTATTTCAAAAAGGGGCTTCCGACCCATAACTAACGACTATTCCCCTGCTTCAGCAATTAGTAAAAATTATATACCTTCATTATGATCTAAATCTTCTTCACTTCCCAAATCCGCAAAACTGTAAGTAGTATCGTCAAAACTGTCTTCATCGCTGAGCATCACATCTTCATTATCTTTCGACGATGTGCCTAGAAGTTTTGTTTTAATCGTTTAAATCAGGGTTCCCAAATTCTCTTGTGTACCACCAAAATTCTCTCGTATTTTTGGCTATTAAACTCAGCTTGCTCTGATACATCCTATATCAGCAGTTATTATTGCATGCTGTGATTGGACGAAATTCGTTGGAAGTAGAATTGGTAGTTTCTGTAGTTAAAGGTAAATCTTTTACTGGGATGAAATTTGACCCTTAAAAAGTCAAAATGTACCTCTGGAGTCTGGGGTTACATGTACATCACATTTACCCCAATTTTGGGGACCCCTGGTTTAAATAAAATTTTGAATATTGAAAATATTGAATGTACTCCTTTGGAGCAGAATATTTGTTAGAGAGCAAAACTCAGCAGAGAAAATATATTTTTTTAGTTGAAATTTCGATTAGTCATTTCGAATCTTAATATACCATCACGTTCATTACGTAGTAATTCACACATTTCGCTCTAAACATGGTCGTGTGCAATCAGCTGCAGATATGAAAAGATTTAGGCTACTAGTATTTTGTAAGGACCAGCATCTCTATAGTCGGTAGTTGGTACGATTATGAATGAAGAGGGAGTGGGCGGATTTAGGGGCATTGAACTCAAGATGTGACATCTGTGAAGCTAATACAGTTGAATCTACTGCTTCTACCGCTTTAGACTCTATGGTGATGTATCATAAGAACTCGTTTGCCATGGCACTGTTAATTACCATAGTGGAGTCTGTGGTCAAATTCTTGTCGGAAATTTATTATATGTAAGAGTAAAGCTGGGTTCCCCTCGATCACAAGGTAAATCACCATCTTTCTCTATGAAACTAGAATCATTAAACAGACCAGGGTCTTCGAAACTGAGGGTCGCTACTTCGCAGGGAGGCACACAACAGATTTTAGGGTTCGCAAAGAGTACACCAATTTCACACAAAGCCTACTACTGTATATCTATTATACTTTTTTTAGACGTTGGATTCGAAGCACAATTACAGTATTAAAACTAGTGCAAAATATGAATCTCGCGATTTGGAGAGAATACGCGACCGGGTCGCGACCTTAAAGTTTGAAAAGTCATGAAATAGACTTACACCTGACGTGGACTGGTGACCCTATGGAAAGTTGTGATGAATCCACTTGATTGACTTTTCTCTTCCATGAAAACGATGCTATCCTAAATCATAGTCTTCTTACTCACCAATACTTTTTGGAGTTGTTTCTTCATCACTTGCTTGACTGAATGCACGATTCGAGACAGATTGGTTCTGAGTGCTCCCTGTACTTCCAGCTCGTCTTGGCCTTGGCTCATTTGGCCCTGTTTTTGAAGTACAAATTTGTTATGGTGTAACTTGGTTAAGAAAAAGTAGTTTATAGGTTTCTCATATAAGGGAGATTCTGCTATTTTGACAATTAGTGTGATATAATATCTTAAATAACAATTGAGTCATTCTCAACTCTCTGTCAATGTGTAATAGATTGTGTTGCTTGCGCATGACTTTAATGCTTCAAGGGTTTACAGATACAAACTCTGAAAATAACCCCGTTGAAGCAAATTCATTCTTCCAAAAATGCTTAAATTCATCTTTGAAATTGCAGCATTGCATACAAAATTCACTGTGTCGCTTTTTATGTCACACCAACTTTGTCCTGCGCTCATTCGAATTTATATTTGTTATACTAACCAATGCTTTCAAATGTTGTCTTGAGCCTCCTTGGAGTTACTGAACTTCCAGTTTCTCTGTCTTGTGGTGTGCCGACACTGACTGCTCTTCTTGTCTTTCTTCTTGTTGATAGCTGATATGGTTCTGAAGAATGAATGTCACGATGCTCTGAAAGAGATAATTAAGAAGTTAGGAATGGTTACTGTAAAATTACAGTATATTTTATCTTTTTTCACAATAATTTAATGTTGAAGAGTTTGTATTTTTTAAAGATTTTGGCAGGGTAAAAATTACAGATTCCTGCTCAGTTACTTCCTAAGCATGAGTGAACTTATTTTTTCCATAGTGCCTGAGATATAATAGGTCATAGATTACACATGATAATAAACTGGAGGATTGCTGGACTCCTCGTCACTGTAGGATGGTTCATGTAACTGCTGGTAGGATACCGCTTCCTCCGCCACCAAATCCATGCTTCCGGATAAAAAACAAGAACTGGTAACCAGACGAGAGGCCGTGGTTCGCCATATGATTAAGCTGTCTTATCGGTTTTGCTCTCCTACTGAGATAAATATGTAAATCCTATCCTGACTGTAGATTATGCTCACCAATGTCTTCTGGTGTTGCCTCAATCCTTCTGGGTGAGATTGAAATTTGTCCTGCTGTTGTTTGTGGTCTTCCAGTTTGAACTTGTGTTGTCTTTCTTCTTGTTGAAGCTTGATAGGATTCTGTAATAGTTTTTTTCAAATTTTAAATATTTACCGTAGTTTGAATTGAGCAAATTTGAAAACTAAGTTCCAGCTTTTCCTCAATATTATGACTTTTATAAAGCCGTATGTTGTTGATTCTTGACTTTGCCAAACTTTCTGTGTAAAGTAATTTTTAGCAATAATCTGATTTTAAAAATTTAGTATTATATGTAAATTATTTTTGTGAATTAAAGTAGTTTTTAAAGGTTTCTGTCTCTATATTCATGAAATACTGTAGGGCTTACTGAATGGGGTAGAGGAATGATCATTTTACATGACAGAAAATATGTTATATATTGAAAAAGTCCGATATTTTACAGGGTATGTAAATGCGGAGACTGTTTCAGAAGGGAATGGGAATTTCCGTTCTTGATACCCCCCTTTTTGGAAGCCTGGCTATGCCCCCTGATTGAAACGAAATTTGTAATCTGCTATAAGTCATCATTGCTTAACGCCAAGATCTTTCTCAAAGAGCACAGATTGGCAACTGATATACTCAGAGCCAATACTCACAGTCACACTCACCTTCAGTCATTGATGACAAAGTGATTGGAGCTTGTGCTTGTGAAAGTTCATTTGATAAAGAACCTGAAAGACATGGAAATAATAGTGTGATGTCTTAAGTCTCAAGCTTTGTCACACTTTTCCAGTTTTGTTACTAAATTTCTCAATTGTTTCGTTATTTGTCTGACGGTCAGAACTTGAACCAGATTAGATAACAGCCCTAGGATGACCCACACAGTCGTCGAACTGGTAATAGAACTAAAATAATGAAAATCGAAATAAAAATTATGGCCTGACCCTAACCTGGTACATACAATATAACATGAGTACCGATATGTGAGTGGTTACTTTTATTCGGGAGGTCCTGAATCGAGTGCTCCCGAAGTATGTGCACCAAGATGGCGCACAACCTGAATATAGAATGTGTACCAGATTAAGGTTATCAGGTTGTGCACCATCTTGGTGCACGTACTTCTGGAGCGCCCCAGAATCTTCCTGGATTGGGATTTGAATAAAAATTGTAAATACCTGCTTGAGTTGATCCATTGTCGATATCTCCTGTTTGTTGAGATTGTGTTTCAGCTGGTGGAGCTGGCAAAGCAATAGGAATATTTGTTGGTTGTTCCTCACTTGGTTCTTCTTGTGGTTGATGACCTGCAATTTGATAATTATAGTAACAGTAGTTTGATAATGAGCATCTAGTTGACCACGCTTACAGATTTCTATGTATGTTTTTCTTGGTATTAATTTGAAATATATCCAATTTGCTTTCCTAATTAACTCGAATAGTAATTGTATACTGCATATGGTAATTTTTTTGCTGTCAAAATATTCCTTTATACTGGTCTTGGTCTCATGATCACTGGTAGGCCATCACCACACTTACAGATTACTCTGCTCTACTGAAATTGAATCTAAAATTAATGGTAAACTAAGGGTCCCCATATGTGAAGCATTGCCAAATGTTTGTCTCATATTTCAGAGCGAAACATCAAAGACCAGACAATTTCTTAGAACTATTCCATTATTATCATTGATAAGTGACATTATTTGTAGGTTTCCTTACTTTGTTCATTTGGGGGTCTCTGATCCCCTCGCCACTCTAGTGCTGCTGGTGCACATGGTGGGGGCAACATTGGCATTCCAAACCCTGGAAGAACAAATACATTCAATTATAGACATAGATTTTGTAGAGACATTTCAATAAGAAAATATATTAGCAGCTTGTCCAAAACATCATTGGAACAAAAGCCCCGTTGGTGGATAGTTCTAGTGTAATTCCATTAGTTCTAAATTGTTTTATTCTCAAGTTCTCAATATATTTTACTTTTGAACGATTCACAGTATTAAAGAACTTTGTACTTAAAAACTTAAAATTTATTTCTGATTTGCTCACTTTGCATTGGAGACTGTTGACCTGGCCATGGTAAAGCCATTTGCTGAGCAGCTGCCCCCAGAGCTGGAAATCGGATTGGTGGCGTTGGCATCGGTGTTTGTGAAGCACCTTCAAAATTTATCACAATATGAACACAATTGTATTTTGATCTATAACAAAATACATAAACTAAACAGCACAAACAAAGCTGTCGGGAGATTGGAAACAAAGGCATAACAAATAGGATGTTTTAATACTGCGCTAATACTCCTCCATGCACACAAGTCAAAAACTACAACAATCTAATTGTGAATAATAAGTCATGAAAAACACACATAAACACAAGAATATCAATTTTACTGGAGGTTTACTTGTATGTAGGTAACACTGGCAAATGCAAAATGTAAGCTTCTGGTAAATTTCTCACAGAAGAAATCAATGCCTTACCCAGTGCCTTGCACAAAGCCGAAAAATTCTTTAAACAATTGATACCAGACCATAAAAAACGGCATGTATCATAATTTATCTCCTGTTACTGAAGCTACGGTATTATGTAAGAATTTCGTTGACATTTCAGCATTTTCACAACTTACCTTCAATATTACGAAACTTTGAATCTTTTATTTCATGCTTAGACCTAAAAGTAGATTAAATACCAAATATCAAAATTACAGTTTCCTTTATAATGGCAGTGTGATGTTGTTTTCCACGTTTATATTATTAGCGATCTTCGCTTGTAACATTTCTATCAGTAACCATTCCATTTTGGCTTAGTAGGATTGCTTCAAGCCGTCTTATCTGCATTGTCAGTTTGCATATTAACACGTGAAGTAATGATAATAAGACAATTCGTGGTTCGGGTATAACTTATTCACACATATATGTTTAAAGCGATGCTATTTCAAATACCAAAACATAATTTCACGTTGGTTAAGTTTAACAATATTGTAGATCAAAGCAACACTTACGTCATCACGTCCCCCTTTACTGTCCCGGTATAAACTGGCGCATAGTAAAAGTTGTATGTAACGCTTTTACTTAGGACAACTTCTTCTTGGGAAGCTGCACTGCTGGTTTGCTGATTTGGGTTATTTGCCTGGGACGCTATTGGTTGATTTTGTGCAAGTCCTTCCGCCCCTCCCCGCTGAGCTTGCGCGTGCTCTTCCCCTTCTTGTTCTTGTTGTCGATGCGGTGGCCTCTCATTGTCATCATCTCCCGACTCCGGCGGGCCATCTTTCTCCATTATGAAAATTATTCACTGTAACGCTTTTTTATCTCCGACTGCAACGTCAATCACAATTCACAAGGCAACTAGTTTAATTGAAATAACTGGTAAAATCCGTACGTGTATTCGGTTAGGATATTTCACGAGTTAATTTTTATTACTGTATCAGAGAAATTTGCAGTGGACAGACAAATCATCTCTTTATCTGATAAACCAGTTAGTTCGTCGGTTATCACGGTACTGTCAACACAATATTCAACCGATCGCTAGCACCTAGCCTACTTTAAACTTCATGGCGTCGCGAATATTCGCGATGTTTGTGCAAATAGAATTTCATTTGTCAATAACCACGCAAGGATATTTATTTGCTAGTGCTATGAATTATGCGCCAAAACGAGTATTGATAGTATCACTTTTCCATATTCTTAGTTGATTGCTTCCTTATGTTACCCTTGCCTGAAGTATCTAACTGAAGCGTCTACGCCTTAAATAAAAATGCGTTGTATGGCTCGTCACTAGACAGGTTGTATCTTACATATACCAGTCGTTACAAGTTAATCTTTAACTCAGGCCAGGCAGTGTAAAAGTTTTGAGTTGGCGAAATTGATAGCATCGGCTGATAAAATATTGGCTTAGCAGAGACCTGTTGAATTCATTTACGCATCAAGTATGGCTATAGGGATCATCCTATATGGCTACTTGTCTAATTCGAACTCTGCTAAACTATTTTAGTTCAGCCCTAACATAATTCACGAATCAAATTGTGTTCCTCGTACAATATCAAAATGGTTTATTTTATGTGCATTTTTATCCAATAGATTATAGTAAAGGGACAGAAGCCTATGGCAAGGGGTGTATTCACTTATCTAACACAGACAGTCCCCGAACTCGTAATAGAACTAAAATAAGAAAAATCGGAATAAAATTATGGCCTAACGCTAACCTGGTACACATACTACGGGAGTACCTAACCGATAGAGTCAGAATACTGTTTAACGTGTATTTGATAAACCTATTTGTGAAATTCAGAGTCTAAATCGATACTGTTTTGTTTGTATGGAGGGAGCTTGTTATATTAAATCCAAACTTTGGATGTAATATAATGGATGTTCCATGTAATACTACTAAATCATCAGAAAGGTAAATTCTGATCCTTCACCTATATTATGCGAGGATTATGCAAGGTGAATAGTTGATCATTAAAACAACTTGTTCAAAAGTTCGTAATACTGTCATGCAGTCTCTTTTTCTCCCATGAATTCGCTGTTCCTTATATATTATATACCGATATGTATTTTACATGCGCCCTCCCCAGACGCGGTTTATCACTGAGTAAATTTTCTAGTTATGGTTGTCTACATGTTCGTAATTACTTTTAGGGCTATTTTTCTAAGCCTCGCACTGATATTTTATTTTCTTTCTCTGAAAATATCATCCCAATCGAAGGGCCTCGGCTTTATATTCTTCAATTGTGTGGTATTTTTCAAAATATCAGGTAATTTTTGTCGTCAATCTTAAATTTAGAGTTGTCGTGAATGACGCGTGATTGCATTTTGCACATCGTTAAGGCTCGCCTGGTCTGTGCCATGATCGAGGCAAAGTACAGAAATTGCGTGGTGGTGCCAAAGAGCTGTAAATTATTGAATTGCTGAAATGCTACCATCAGCAACGAGTCGCCACGCCAGCACGGTTTAGTAACTCAGAAAATAAATGAATTGTGGACGGAAACATCTAATGCGAGACAAGCATTTCGTGAACAATGTCGCGATTTTTGATTAATTTTTAATCCAATCAGAGGAATTCCAATATTACCGCTGTTAAAGAATGCCAGAAGAATAGTCAGTCATTGCCAATTAGGTTAACTTTATATAAATACAAATTTTAATTTAACTAGACATCGTGCGTGCTGAACATTCGATACACTCCATCAGGGATGGTCAATACCAAATAATTCAAAGCGGGAAAAGGTATAAATTTATGTCCGTAATAAATCATCTCGTTTTTTTTTCGAGATGAAATAATTTGTTGATTATCGTAGTAAAGCTCAGGAACACAACTTAATTTATTTTTTATCTAAGCTTGGATCTATGCGAGACGCGTGAACCGCCTTCATGTTAAAATTACTTCCACTAAGTGATAAAGTAGACTATGGATCTTATCGCCGTTAGATATATTTGTTGTTATAGTTATATCAAATAGTAGTTTCGACATATAAATACTATTCAATATTAGTACGTATTTGAGTGTGTACATTGTGGGGCAAAAACATTTGATTTCAAATGTGGCATTTTTTTGCCTCACTCTATATATGCACTTCTACCCATTAGATTGATTCAAATCCAAGATATTAATCACCTCACCATGTTTTTCCCTTATTTTTAAACGCGAGCGTTTGGGAGAAATTATTTGATATCTAACCACAAAACTTAGCGCTACATGATCTCCTATAATGAATGTTTATCATACTCCGTTGTATATTAAAAAGTTAAAGTTAGAATATTGTATAGGTTAAAAATGGTATTTTGTACTGTTGTTATTTTTCGAGAAAAAGGTTTCCTCTGTCGTTAAACGACATTGAATAGCAACGGCCAACGGTCGACTGCGGTTATTTAAATTTATAATGTGCAGCGCGAAAACAAGTTTTGGTGGTTTCGAATTTTAAGAAAGTCTAATTAACTGGTTGGACTTGGTAAAATTCCTAATAATTCGTGGGAATATATTGTTACCTTTGTCGAAATTCATAAAAACCGCGGTACTTCTTCACGTGCCTATCAGTTGGGATTACGCGATACAAATGTATATTTGTTATGTTTTGTCCGCCAAGAGTCAGTTTACAACAATGACCAATTCTTAATTTCTTTCTCTATTTTCACGTTATTTGTTGAATATTTATTTACATGGCTGGCTGTGGGACACAATGGTGATAATCCGTAATATATTAACTTTTGTTAAATACAATGACAATTTTGTTTTAGTATTTGTATCTATTGTACGGTATAGTAATTTAGAATGGAACCCGCTTACAGATTACAATTGCTGTACTTTGTGATATCGCTTGTTTAGTAACTACGCATGTTGAGTAAACTTTCTTCGAAAGGTTAATCGCATTTACTGCTATCCGGCGAGTTGTCTGTCGTCCAGACATTACGGCGCCATGGATACCGGTATGTGAAACCAATATTTATTCTGTTACCGAGTTCATATAACGTTTGTTATTTATTTCGATGTACCGGTATATATATTTATCTGCTCATTAAATCGGAATTCTTTTTATGACATAAAATCTGGTCTGTATATGCTATACATTATGGAGCCAATCGCCTTTTGAATAATCTCAATCTATTGGGCTGCCATGGAGTACAGATTAGTTGTAGTATGTATGGATATAATGTCCCAAACGCCATTTGAATAACTCTCCTCCACGTTATCCCATAATTTTTATTTACTGCTATAAAAATACAGAAAATCTATTTGGCACTTTGGACTTTATTTTTTAAAATTATACAAATATATTCCACCGCGCGAGTAGTGATGTTTGTGTGAATAATTGTTTCTTTGTCACGATCACATTACGAAATAAAAAAATATTTCAAAAATCGTTCATTCAAATTTAGCAGACAAATATTTTCTTCAGTATGACACATCGTGAAATAAATATTTTCCTTTATATTCGAAGGATAATTTTAACGTCATTTCGTTATTTGAAAGCTTTATGGACTTGATAATTCATTCGCTCCATCAGGAATTATTCATTCATTCTGTTGCACCAATTTGATATCATTGCAGGAGGCCACAGTTAATACAAACAGAAATGCGGCAATAATTCAAGTGTATCTATTTTGCCCCAAAATCATGTTGTTAATTTGACACAAAAAATAGTAATCCTGATAATCTGAATTTTTTGAAACACCTTGTCAGTTCGCAAATAAATGGAATTCCGACTAAATTCTCCTCATTCCTTATTAAAATTCCCAATATTGAGGTTTAAATCAGAACATATTTCAACTTTGCCTATATTTTTCTCATTAAATATTTCATATATGATTATCTCAAATGCGTTTTTAGGACAACGATGTAACGCAATTGAATTGTATATGCCGCCCCCGCATTTTAAAAACAATTTTATCAAATTGGCACCCAGACTTTGTAGCGTCATGGTTATTAGGCTTACCATATTTCTGGAGCCAAAAACCGGGACGCCGCGGATTGTACAAGCTAACCTTGGTCGGATTCCAGGGGCTTAGTAATAGTTTAAACGTTTTCCATACCAATGTGGGAAGATTACGGGCATCAAAATTTGCTGTAAATCCTGTTGAAATATTCATTGGTCTTCACTTCAAATAATGGAAATCGTTCAACTCATCAGAAAACTTGCACTTCGTTTCCGGCATTTTGATGATTCAACGAGAGTACAGTTGGGTGTTAAATTACCGCATGGTTCATACTTCATATCATACCTATGATATACGGCGGTTTTACGGCAATTGATAATTGCGACCAATGTATCAAAGTCTTCAAACAGTTGAATAAAATTGGATAACACGCTTAACTTAAATGTAATTTATCTTAACACTTATAAAATTATTAAATTGTATGAATCTATTGTGAAAAAACACGCCAATAATACAAAAATGTGAGATTTGGTAAAAGCACCCCCGTCACGTTTTAAAATTAAAAATTAGTAAATATCCAGTTAGTTGGGATCAGGAATGATTTGAATATTTTGAATTTCCAGCGCGATCTAACCCTAACTAAGATAATTACTAGTTTTTATTTTCTTTTGATCGGCGGCGAAGGTGTTTTTTTTTCGCCGGGGGCTTTCTACTAAAGACAATTGGGTGCTCCCATGCGAACCAAGATGGCGGTCATCGGAACGTAACATGGGTAACAGGTTAGGGTTAGGCGATAATATTTTTCCATTTTTCCTTATTTTAGTCCTATTATCAGTTCGAAGACTAGCCAAGGGCCTCCCGTAGTATTTATACCTAAAATTATGACCTAACCCTAACCTAGTACACATATTACATTCCGATGTCCGCCATTTTTGTTCGCATACTTCGGGAGCCCCATTTTTTAAAATCCAAACTGACAGCCAGACGCCACGGCGCCATCGACTAAGGCGTCGTGTTCATGTTGTTTGTTCAGTATTTTCTTTGTTCGATGTTTAAACCTGATACCACGTGGAGGAAGGATTATGTTGTTATTTTTTATCGAGTACGAGGTGATCTTTCGGCCCGGTTTATAATAAATAGCTTACCAAATTGACGCCTGTTAATTTGTGTTATGGTTGCCTAGCAACGTAGCTGATTTACTATGGAAAGTCATCTACCGGTTGGATAACATTTATGGATTTTGTAAAAAAAAAACGCCACAAAAATGTGAGGTTTGGGAACCCTCCCCCCCCCCCCCCCCCTCGTCACATTTTAAAACTAGTAATTATCCAGTTAGCATTAGGAGTGATTTGAAAATTTGAATTTCCAGCGCAATCTACATTCTCAGCACTAACTGGATAAATACTATTTTTTTTCGGCGGGGGATTTCTACGAAATATCCAATTGTGTTTACTTCTTCGGGGGCGTAGCCAGGGGTTAGGGGCCGAAATCCCCGAAAATGTAAAATCCCCCCCCCCCTTTTTTTACGAATCAGAATTAAAATCCCCCTTTTGAAATGTAAAAAAAGCATTTTTCTGTATAACAGAGAGCACGTATTCGTAGCTTTAAATATGCCTATGGCTTTTAGACCCGAAACCCGTAGCTGTTACGGTCTAACTTATTAGAAATTTCGGTCCACTAACAAATTTCAGCTCCCCTCCCCCCCACCCCTTTTTGAAATTGGTTTTCTAAACTGGCAGCCAGACGGTATGGCGCCGTCGACTGAGACGTGTTCGTGTTGGTTGTATTTGCTTTGTATAGTGTGTAAAACAGGTACAACAATGCCGCCCTTTTCAAGTAAATAGTAACTATAGTAGTTTGATATATCGATTGATTATGGCGACCGCAGTATAACTAAATCAACATGGCATGACTCCGCATTATGTTGGTATTTCCGCCGAGTTTGAGGTGATCTTTCGGTCGCGTTCAAAATTAAAGCCTCTCCAAATCCCGTTGACAAAGTCAGCTTTTAAATAATTATCCTGCCTTTCGCCGTCCCATGAAGTCCACAAACGAACAAAATTTTTTTTTCAATCAGCATAATTTTTAATCTCGTATCAATTAGTTGTATTGAATAAACTTTTAACCCTAATACATTTTATGCATAAAAGTAAAACATTAGTGAAATAACATGATTGATGGAATTGTCATTGGAATTCCGTCGTTTTCGAACTTTGGTCCACTGGTTTTTGGTCTTAAGAATGGCAAATTTGCGAGGCCAAATCAGTGTTACAAATACTTGAGTCCTACAAATACTGAAAAATAGTTTCAGACGAAAAGGGAAAGTCGTCAGACAAATATAAATTTCTCATGAATTAGGATTCATTGTAAAGTTGTCGCAAAGATTTTCCCTCTAATAGCGCTGATGATAATGAAATACTAACATGTATGTGGCTAAATAATGGCTAGGGATGGGCAAATATGCGCAAATTAAAATACAGTATTCGAATGGAATTTTGCTATTTGCATATTTGATAACCTTCGATTCACTTTGACACGAACTTACACGATGGTTGATTCAAACACTTGAACAGCGCGAAATTTTTCCCGCGCGAAGAGACCAGCTGTCAAAATCGAGAAGGCGCCAAATTTGTGGAATTCCCATTTGAAAATTTTTTGTTGCCTGCTTTGTGAATTAAGTAACACCACACAAGGGCATTCGCTATTCTAATTACAGGGAATATATAAATATATCCGAGGCTTTTTCACGTAAAATATCATTATGGCTTTGTAAAAAATCATCATTGTCGATTTAATCACCATTTAAATTTTAAACAGAGATGTCGTAGGACGTGGTAATTGCGAACTTTGCCGTGAGTCTTGCGTAACGCCCACTTTCAAGTATTAAATAGAAAATAAAGTTTGATGTCCACGAAGCGCGGGAATTAATTAATACTTTTGAAACTGGCCAAAGGATATATCCAGAGGGAATATTTGAATCTTACCATTGCTGTGTATAAACACAAGGTATCGACCATCAAAGTCCGAAGTACGGCTCTCATTATATATTAAAAGTTTAGAACTATTCGCATTCGTTAAAAAAAATTTTAATTACTCGATTCGATGAAAATATTTATTTTGCCCATCCCTAGTAATACAGGATGACTCATAAAAACAGACCCAAGGCAATTTGGAACATATTCTATGGGTTTCGTTTTTTGGGGTCTTGATATAGTTTATAATGCAATGGATATATAATAAAAAGTTCAAGGCAACTTCTGTATTGGCAGACTTGGAAGTTGGAAGAATTCAAATGTTGTCTAATTAGAGACGATGAGCTGTATCCCAATCTGAAAAGAGAGTATATATTGTCAAACTCGTAAATGTGGTGTCATAGACTATAAGTTTTCTTTAACATAACGGAGTTCTTTCAAATTTCAGTGTCAGTGAGTAGAAATTCGTCACTATGACGGTGACGAAATCCATCTTGAGTGCTTTTGAGAAGATGGAGGGGGTTTCGACATCACCGGAAAATTCCTATTTGTGGCCTAAATTGAGACTCGAGGTCTGAATGTGCTAATTAATTTACAGTATTTACCACAATGAGATACATGGTAAATCTATTATGCGGAAAACTCTTTTTTCAGTCTTGCCGGCGTCTTACTCACATAGATTTATATATATTTCACTATCAACAAATATATTCATAAAATATTTTGAAATACTTACCCCGAGTGGCCTTTGGTTTGCCTCGCGAATATGTCTTGTGATTGGCGGTGCCGCGGATCCATTTTCCCCGTAACGAAGTCTCGGAAGAATCCGAACGCTTTTAAAAAACGGTATTACCTTTAGCAATCAATTCAGTATTGTGAAGTAAAAGTTGTGTCGTTATTAGTGGTTGTGAGGCCGCAGCCGTATCTTGCAGTAACTATTTTTGTTTTTCAGACGTAATTTTTAATGAGAAAGAAGGACAATTACAAAGTTTTTGTTGTCAAAATATGGTTTTCTCTGTGGTCAAAATTTAGATTTTGTCCGCTTCGAGTCCGTTTTCCCCGACGTCACAGCTATACTTAGTTAGAATATCATCGTTAGTGAAGGTTAAAAACTAATTATTAATTTTTCAAATTTATTGAGCAGTTATCATCTCGATCTGGTTATAGTTACTATTTATTATCGCCCACATGCATTTAGATTTATTCATAATCAAGGAAGAACCTTGGGTGTCTGATCAGGTTATGAAATGTCCTAGTTTTTTATACACCACCAAGACTTGACCTTACAAACCTTTTGATTACACGTCAGGACCCCATTAAAACCCAATTTGTTGGATTTAACTGTTTTGGTCAGTTTGCTTTTGCATATTCGCCCTGTATGATATGGTCAATATAGTATGAACGAGAAACTTTCTAAGCAGAAATGCAGTTTACCTTAACAGATCGATAGTCACCGTCTCTATACCATCATCGTCCTGAAAAATAAAAACATTTTTTATTGGTAAGCTTTACCTTGTTGTTTAAGTTTGACCAATTGGGTTATCTATACCAACTGGGAACTTTGCCGTTTAAAAAAAAGAAATATAACAGTCAAGTATAGATCTGGACACTTGTTGTAAAGTAGCGCTAATACAGATGTAGAAATAGCAATTTTGGTATAATAATTACCCATTCAACATTCATCCGAATATATTCATCTCTTGAAAGCTCAGTCGGACCATATATGTAGTAGCCAGATTCCACCCTGTTGTTGCGCGGATTATCGTCGTCAACAGGCGAAGACAACGTCTCGCGACGTTGCACCTGTGGTGAATTATTGGATTTTTTTTAACTAGTATAGAAAATACAGCTGTAATTATTGCTTTGCATGCTTCCGTATAAAGTTCATGGTTAATTTGATTAAAAGTTCACTCTCAATTGAATTACATTCGAAGTTTTGTTTTCTTTGTTACTAGGATTAGCTTATAAGCTTATTTGAATGGGTTTCTGTTTTACGGATAATATTCCTGACATTAAGGAAATGGGGTGCGAATGGATTCGGTTAATGTTACAACCAATATGTCAAATCGCCTTCACAAAAACAATCAGCGATTGTGACAAATTGAATGAAACACTATCCTAATTCATTCTCATACCATTTCCTTAATGTCAGGAATATTATCCGTAAAACAGAAACCCTGTCAACAAAAACGTGCGAACGTTGCTGTCTTCCGGTATTTTTCAGCGGGAGTATCAACCACTGCCTTCTGGACTGTTGTGCCATATATTAAAAATATTAGGTATTTGGTATTCGTTAAAAATATTTGAATTGTTTGCTTTGATAAAAATGTCTGATTTTTCCAATCCCTAATTATAAGTTGCATCGGATGGTACGTTGAAGCACGTCTGACTTGAGTAATAGGTTGTCGCAAATACCAATTTTTATTTATCCGCATTGGATTGTTGCTTGAATAAATACTGACACGATAGAATTCCCGCTATTAATTTGTGCTGCCTCAAATACGACAAGAAAAATATCAAAATTAGAATCATTCTCTCACCATTGAAATAATTAACACGCTCATTTGTGATATGCTGTTATGTGCCGTTGATTTTAAAACTTTCCCATGAAATATTAATGGCTGAACAATTTGATATTGGGGTCAAACAATTTGTATTATTGTTCATCATATTCGTGGATTTGGGTATATTTCCGCCATTTAAATATATATATTTTAATACAGTGTCCGCACTTAACAGTGTACTTTATAACCAACTAAGCGGCACCGACATGAAAATCGGGTCATCTTGGTTGTTAGTGCTTCCATCTTTGGTATAAACATGATTAATTATGAGTTTCTTCGCAAGATCTTCGCACAGAAATTTTGGTCATTTCAAGATCGGTTTTGTAACCGAAGAATTTTATGAAAGTCTCGTTATGAACATTGCAAAGGTCTCGTCGTAAAGCAGGGTTTGAAATGAATTGAATAAATACTAATTCTAATCAGGGAATGGGAATGAAGAATGCGATGGAAATTCAATTAGTGTTGGGGACTTTGTACAAAAGATGCATTTGGATTACCACTAGCTATGGTTAATTGAAGAAATTATAGGAATACTTTGGATATCTACTAGGAACTTTGATATCGCTGAATTTTGCCATTAAAATCGGGTTGGCCCGAACGCGTCCAATGGAATTCCAAGATAATCTGCGAACTGTTCTGGTTAGCTTTTGTTTTGTTTTAGCTGTCAAAACTCGCTCGAATACAATAAATTTTTAGATAAGACTAAAATAAGATTACGCATCTATTCAAAAATTTTGATACAAAATGATGACAGTTATCATTAGAATACTAGATAAGTCTTCTCATGATATATTTCAGACCGTCTGATATATATAATGGTTTAGATTTAGAGGTTACATTAATTAATTTCTAACGCGTCAAATCGATGCGATGCCAGTGGGAGTTCAATGTGAGAGAGAAGCGTTGTTCAAAGAGGTAAAAACTTAAAGTTATATTTGGCGTTTTGATATTTATGTTTTATATTTATGTATTTAATTTATTTATTGACATACGATAGTACATATGATATTTGAGTTGTACTTATCATGTAATCATATGATACGTTCTTGTTTTGTTACAGAGTATACATTAGTAAATATGAAGTTTGAGTTGTTCCTATCATGAAATCTTATCTTATGCTGAGGTTATGTAGTGTGTTAGATTCATGTAATCGGTAAACCACAAAATCGGTACATATGAAAATTGTTATCATGTAATTACGTTATTGTACTGTATTGTTCATTCAAAGTTCCGAATGGTTTTCTGGAATAAGAGAACCTGTTGTTAGTTAGTTCGATTCGAAACTGATCTTGAAGTTTGAATCATGTCGCTGTTTATATAAAAAACGCTTACTTGATCGTTATCTTCGTCCTGTCCGCATGCGCCTCCAAACTCTTGGTCCAACTCTTGAACAGCTATTACTTCTTGAATCAGTGGCCGAGAAATGTTTTGTCTGACAACAGGTTGCGATGCAACTTCAGGCGCTGCAGGAGTTTCATTGATTATTTGCTCCAATTCGGACGAATTACTCTGGTCAACGGGACTCTCCCCATTTCTGATAAATGTAATAGTAGAGTTAATGGATGACAGAGGTTATTTTGATCTTAGCGTGGTTTAAATTGTAGTTGTTGGAATTAAGGTAACATAATGTCTTCGATCAGAGTTGTGCTCGTATAAGCCGCAGTTGAAGTTTTTAAACTTCGCTTATATTCGGAAATATACGGCTTGTATAGACTAGATCACTAGAGTGTCTTTAACATATCTTGTCCATTGTCCAGGTAAAGTTTTATTGTAATTGGTATCTGAAACTTTGGTAACTTACATAGTTTTGCTAACACCAATTCAACAATGTATCCTCAACCTACTGCCAATACCAGGTGGTTTTTGGATGGCTTGGAGAAGATTCATTGTAATTTATACTCCACGGACCTCACTCTAAATCAGCGTCTGGCGACTGTAGTTTTACTAAATAGAGTGTTTCGATTTTTTTAACATATCTGAGGTGCACATTTAAATGCCCCATTACGCTACAGCTGAAAGCTCTTGTGTAAGAGACGCTATGGTTTTCTTTGGAATATTTCACATTACTTCGAAATAAGTTTGTAATAATGCGGTGGAAGTTAAAATACACTTACGCTTGACTTGAGCTTGCTTGTTCCTCGTTGTCTCGGAAAGGAACACGGCGAAGGTTCTGTCGGGCCTTCTTTTGTTCATGCCATGACAGTTTCTTGATTTTTTTTGATCTTCTGCTGCTTCGTTTTCTGGGCTTCGTATGCTCCGGCTGCATAGGAAGTACTTGGCCAGAGTCATCAGTTGACCCACGGGCAGCCGCCACGTTTGCATTATCTGCAACACTGTTGCCAGATTCTCTAGACCTTCCTCCATTGCCCACGACGTTAGAACTTTCTACCCTAGGTTCCCCAGTCAAAGGTTCTGTCAAAGCACCGTTGTCCACTGACACCGAGGCCATCAGTGACTGATTACCATTCACCGTACTGGTAGCGTTACTGTCACTAAATGCTCCAGCCATTTTAAATAGGTTTAGTGATTCTGTGAAGTGCAAATGAAAACAACATGAAACTATTTCGTTCCGAAATGAAATAGACTACCAGGAAAATTGACAATACTTCATTTCCATATTGAGTTTTGACAATGTCTCGAAACGACATTAATATCAATATTGCCAAATAAAATTACACCCCTAAGTATTTTTAAGTGACTGTCCGCCCCGGTATATTCAATCGACAACAAATTTTATCTCTGCATCCGGATACATACAGAATGAATCGCAGAAGAGTCTCTTCAGTGAAATATTCGTGATTATCGTAAAATTCACTCCCTCGTAATTTGTATTATCATATATATGAAAATCCAACACTATTGAAGTATGTTAGTGTCCCGCCAGTATCTAAGGTCAGTCCAGAATATTATAGATTAATTAAGTTTAGTGAAAGGTCGTACATTTGCTTAACTTGTCTCAAAATAAACAGAATCAGACAACTCAGATAAAACAATAAGTGATAAGGGCAATATTATAATAGTACAATCAATCTAACAAAAGTATAAAAACTATCTTCACAAGTAAACTACGCCATTTAAAAACAAAGATAACCCGTGCCCAATAAACGTCTTTTGTCCATGCGAAACTGCCCGTGACCAGTTCATATTTTTGCGTGATTCAAGAGTCTCACTGCTCACTGACACAAATGTATTTCTGTAATGTTTTGTCTGATCGAGGTCAGAAATTTTTAATTTGGCAAGTTAGATCGAAACAGCTAGCGGGTCCAATCGAATGCAGGAATACGCGTGTTTTCATTAGTCTTGAGGTCTAAAAATCATTTCAAGCTACGAAAAATTGTTATCTATGATACAGTAAAATGATTTTATTTTTTTACATTTCAAAAAGGGGGGGTTTCGACCCGCAAAACCACCCCCCTGACTACGCCACTGTGACATATCTCCGGTCTCGGGTATTTTATGGCATCGCCAGCCCTACTTCTTTTCTTGCTACAAATTCTGGTAAAACAGCTCTCTCAACTTGATTAAACAGCCACGAACCTACAACATGCTTGAAGACTTTTACGGAAATAGTTATCTTAATATCACCAGTGAAGCTGAAGTCTGATGCGTAATCCTAAAATATGATTTACTACGCCAATACACACTTATACTTGTATATCGCCTTGACCGTGTATTTTTGTACCGTCCATTTCCGTCAATGATTAGGTCACTCAGATTATTAATGTTGCAATATCTACTCATTTTATTCATTGCCCGCCCGTCATTCACACTTTACTATCTGAATTCATCTCTCCAACACAAAGCTAAGCTGCTGGATCCATCGTCTGAGAATATAGTATGCCGACCTCACGCACTGGGTTTTTCTGTGTTTAATGTACAGCAGCGTCGATGTAAGAATAGACGAGCGCTTCAACTAATATTTGAAAATAAGCATTGACGTAACTTGGAGAGAGGAAGCGATGATTGACAATGTTGGCCAAGTATGTTATGGCCTGAATAAGATATGGTTTTTTACTATATTGGTACTTCAGAATTATAAAGTAAGACGATTTAATCACATAACGAACCACCTCTTGTCTGGTTATACTGTTATTAAATCATTCACATAAATTAAGTTTTAACATATATGGAATTAGATATTTGGGCGCGTATTCAGGCGTAGCAACTCCTGAAAAAAACTGTTTATATTAATAATATTATTCGGAGTCTAAACTAGTTAATTTAGATTTCTAAAGTTATAAACCGCCATAACGTTTTTTACTGGGCATATTCGAGTTAAATAGCACCAAGCCATCTCTTAATGACTAACCAGTTTAATACAATATATCTTTGTAACAGACTTGATTAGGGTATTCCGTGCATGCTATTTTACCATGTAAGATACACTATTATTTACTATTTGATTAACCTTTCGGATCATATCGTACTGCGGTCGCGTTGTACTGTAATGGTAAACTGACAATAAAGACATTATCTTGTTAAAGTGTTTCTGACAGACTGGGAAATCGGTGCAGGGGCCACGGTTGGAATTCGTCGTCATCTGACGTGAGAGGAAACGCCCTCCAACAAACGAAGATAAGCAACGAGATACTTTCCTGGCTGTACAAGTACTAGCCTTCCGCGTTTACGTGGATCTTTCGTTAATTCTTTTCTATTGTATTCTGTAAACTGTATCTAATGTAACACACAAATGTATGTAAAATTAATTGAATAAATAATTAGTTGCAGTTGACAAAAGAATCGCTACAATTGGCGACCCCGTGTAATATTAGCAAAGAGGTTGGAAGGTTCCCTGACGTTTGTTATGCGGATTTTAAAACGTTACTGAAGGATTTTGTTTCCTTCAAATTTGTCTCCTTTGTATATCGAGACAATCCGGACAATCAACATATTGTATCGTAATATAGACTGTAAGTGGTTTGGTACTTCTTTTGTTTGAAACAACAATCAGATTTGAAATGATACAGGTTGGCGACAATCCCCGTTGATGAATAAAGCTGAATACGCTAAATATAAAAACGTGCCCCCCCCCCCCCTTTATTTTCAGAAACGATAATAAACATTTCTTTGGAGCAATTTTCTATGCTTGTATTCGGTTGTTCACGATACATTGTTTGGCCAACCTGAGCCTTCATTATAATTCGACATGGGTTGTTCGTTTTGTGTGGCGGGGGTGATACTTTATTGTTGAAGCGTGTATTATTCGTTGTTTAACGCCTTGAAATTTAATCAGATTTGAAAGGGATACAATATTGGCAACAATTCATATTTCACTGGTTTTGTAGTAAAAACACTTAGATTATTTACACACGATGAACTAAAAAAAACATAAAGTTCTATATTACTTCTACGAAAATGAAGGAAATCTATTCAACATTTCAACACCTCTGTTTATGTATGGTTGTAACCAAAAGTTTCAGTAATCTAGAACGCTTTGCATAAAATTATGCGCGCTTTATTATATATTCGTATCTTTTTTATTTAAATCGAAATAACCTAACGTCTCATGCTCACTATTTCTTCATTATCCTCTCCCAGTCTAAGTATAAAACACACCGTATATATCTAAATTAAACGCTGAATACACGGAAAGTTTTCCAGTTTTGCGGTTTCAATAGTAAACAAAATAATGGCGCAAAGCGAGTGTTAACGGGAATAATATGAAAAGCAAAGACTCGGAATATTTTCAAACGTTAAAGTTTTTCTCAAAAATTCTGCTTTCTTGCTCGAGGTAGAGGTATGTTGAAACGCACAGCCTTTTGAATGCCCCAAACTCAGTTCACATTTTTACAAAACAAAGTCCTCATTACGGAGAGAAGTATTTGATTTTGAACTTTTAACCGGCAATTTTATAGTCCTGGTGCTAGTACACTATACGCGCCTTTCGCGGTTGCATTGATTCTTGTTGTATTCTGTACATTGTATCTAATGTAACACACTATTGTATTTTGAATTATTGTAAATGCATATTTGGAATTGACAAAAGAATCGATATATTATATAGGTTACAATTTGCGACCCCGTGTATGTAATGTTTCGTGACTGTTTTATTCGGATTTTTAAACGTTGATCAAATATTTTGTTACTCTTTCGTATATCGAGGCGACTCCAGACAATGAACTCTACATAATGTTTTGCGATAAGAGCTCAAAACAACAGTCAGATTTGAAAGTGATACATGTTGGCAACATTTCCGTTGTCAACACTTCGGGTGATGAATACGCTGAATTATATAAACGTAATCCCCCTTTATTTGTAGAAACAATATTAAACATTCCTTTTTAGCAATTTTTTATAATCGATTCTTTCATTGGATTGTTTACGAAACATTGTTTGGCCTACCTGAGTCTTCATTATAATTCGACATGGGTTGTTCGTTTTGTGTGGGGTGATACTTTATTGTTACAGCGTGTATTATTCGTTGTTTAACGCCTTGAAATAATAATCAGATTTGGAAGGGATACAATATTGGCAACAATTCATATTTCACTGGTTTTGTAGTAAAAACACTTAGATTATTTACACACGGTGAACTAAAAAAACATAAAGTTCTTTATTGCTTCTACGAAAATTAGGTAAATCTATTCAACATTTCAACACCTCTGTTTGTGTATGATTGAAACCAAAAGTTTCAGTAATCTAGAACGATGGCATAAAATTATGCGCGCTTTATCATATATTCGTATCTTTTTTATTTAAATCGAAATAACCTAACGACTCATGCTCACTATTTCTTCATTATAGTATAAAACACACCGTATATATCTAAATCAAACGCTGAATACACGGAAAGTTCTCCAGTTTTGCGGTTTCAATAGTAAACAGAATAATGGCGCAAAGCGAGTGTTAACGGGAATAATATGGAAAGCAAAGACTCGGAATATTTTCAAACGTTAAAGTTTTTCTCAAAAATTCTGCTTTTCTTGCTCGAGGTAGAGGTATGTTGAAACGCACAGCTTTTTGAATGCCCCAAACTCAGTTCACATTTTTACAAAACAAAGTCCTCATTACGGAGAGAAGTATTTGATTTTGAACTTTTAACCGGCAATTTTATAGTCCTGGTGCTAGTACACTATACGCGCCTTTCGCGGTTGCATTGATTCTTGTTGTATTCTGTACATTGTATCTAATGTAACACACTATTGTATTTTGAATTATTGTAAATGCATAATTGGAATTGACAAAAGAATCGATATATTATATAGGTTACAATTTGCGACCCCGTGTATGTAATGTAAACAAAGGGGTTGAAAGGTTTCGTGTCTGTTTTATTCGGATTTTTAAACGTCGATCAAAGATTTTGTGACTCTTTCGTATATCGAGGCGACTCCAGACAATGAACTCTACATAATGTTTTGCGATAAGAGCTCAAGACAACAGTCAGATTTGAAAGTGATACATGTTGGCAACAATTTCCGTTGTCAACACTTCGGGTGATGAATACGCTGAATACGCTGAATTATATAAACGTAATCCCCCTTTATTTGTAGAAACAATAGTAAACATTCCTTTTTAGCAATTTT